GTTGTTTGAGAGAGAGAGAGAGAGAGAGAGAGATCCTCAATAGAAAAATGTGAAATGTTTTGTATTTTATGTGCAAAATATCGCCTTTAAAGCGATAGACAGTTATTTGAATGGAAAGTAAAAACCGACTAAACTTTTAGCAGAAGTGGAGCCAAAACGAGATTTTTGGTCACCTATTTTGCACAGATTTGGGTCGTCTTTAATTATTTTCACTTTTTTATAGTCAAAACATGAGACACATGGAAGACATACTCGCCCTCATGAATAAAACATGTTTCAAATAGGGTGACCACAATTATAACGGAACACTCATATTTCATATTTATTAATATATTAATTAATTTATTCACAATTTTTTAATTGTAATTGCATATGAATTCACTTATAATATTTTTAATATTTTCTTGTTATAATATAGCAATATATTTTTATTTTACTTCACAGCGCTTTTATTTTCAATATTTTGCCATTAAAAGTAAATCCATCTTAAAAGAATAATTAAACACATGGACTTTTAAACAAATAAAACTTGAGCTTAATATTAAAATAATAGTTAAAATACAAATAAAGATTTATATTATATTATAAATGCAAAGATTTTTAATAATAAAAATTAAAATATGCATAAAGTGGTGATAATAGGTGAGGGAAATCATTATATAATGGATGTGCCGGATAACAAGGCTATCACCCAATTTTGTTGTCACTAATTTCTCGCTTATTTTAGGAATTATATGTTTATTTAAGCACATCTATTAACCTAAACGATAGATATAACTTACAAAAGTAGTATTCATGGCATTAAAGCCCACAATAATATGCCTTACCTTCACCCCCATTAGGGATGAGCTGACACAACAGCGCTTTTTATGTAATTAATTTGAATCGAGATGTAATGTCGTACAAAAAAATTAAACAAAAATAAATATTTTCTCTCTTATGAAAGTAAAAGTATAAGAAAAATAGTGATCCAAATGTCAGTATAAAAGTGAGAGTTTTTAGCAAATATAACTTCATTTAGTGTCAACTTTATTATAAGTTTACTACAATTGTATAACTACATACAAAACTATACTTATCAAAATGATCAAGGTATGTTATATTGCTATTTATATAAGTGTATTAATGTATAAATATAATTGAAATTTAATATTCATTCAACTTTATATAAGTGATTGAAAAGTGTTAATCAAATCAAATGATATTCTGTACACTCGTGTCATCGTATTTCTAGGCAATTGTCTGCTTCTCTGTACTGATGGTCGTGTGTTCGGCCCAAAGACCGTATGGCTTAGGTCTGGTACCACAGGCGGGACTCCTGGTCGACGACAAGCCCGAGCCCTATCAGTTTGGTTACAACGCGGCCGACGAGTACGGAACCCAATGGAATCGCCAGGAGGTGGCCGACGGCAGCGGTGCTGTTCGCGGCTCTTACGGCTATAGAGATGCTTCTGGTATATACAGGACTGTGGAGTACGTCGCCGACGACGTCAATGGTTTCCGCGCTAACGTCAAGAGCAATGAGCCCGGACTCATCAGCAGCGCACCCGCCGGTGTCACCTATACTGTTGGCAACAGAAAATAATTTAGATTTTGTTTAACAACTTTTTTCTTTGTTTGCCTTTAAATGAGAATTTTATTGTGAATTAAATGCCAAAAAAAGTTTATGAAATTTATTAGAAATAAATGCTATTTAAACTTTTTATTAAATGACTTAATCTTTTAAACGTTTATAATAAGAAAAAATTAATTGAAAATAAAATTTATTTTTATTTATTTATCAAGTTTTATTTTTTGATAAAAACCATGCATTAAGATTTAGATAATATATTTTTATTTTTACTAAATAATTGGTTAAAGAATTGCTATACAATTCTGTAATTTAATGAATAAATAATATATTTATTATGACCATTATAATATTGTTTTTATATTAAAATTAATAATTTAAATATAAACAAGTTTTTAATTAAACGTTTAAATAACAGAATAATTTATTAAAGTTACAAGAATATAATTATAGGAATAATAATACTACAGTATTTATAAAATGCTAATAAATAATACTTTCTAGTAATTATTTCTTATAAATATTAATATTCATTAATTAAAGTATTTAATAAAATACAAACAAAAAATCATTTTTAAAAATAAGCCCTATTATTAGTAGTTTAAATAAACGATAAAATGTTTACACATAAACAATGAAACCAAACACTAAATATGATAATATAATTATTAATCAAAAACAAAAAGGACCTTCAAATTTGTATAAAATAATATATTCTGAGGTCTATTATCACCAAAAGTAATATCGGAACTCAATAATGAGTTTACTATAATATTTTAAATGATATGCAACGGATGCATAAGTGATATTTAAATAATGCTATTATGTAATATTTGAAGGCATTCATGCAAAACAATTTCATTTATTAAAAACCATTAAAATATAAACCTACTATTTGTGTAATTTTGTGGCTTTTATCTTAAAATAGATATTAGCGTATATTTTAATTAAATTCTGATTCAAACAAACAGTAATTAATTGTGAATTTAAATAAAATTACATGCTTTGCATAACTTGATTGCCTTCAAAACTACTGAATATCAAATCAAAATCATTCATATAGTATTCATGAAGTGATTTATGACCAAAAATTATTTTATCAGTATTTTAGGACATCTATAAAAAGATCATCCCTTCGCTCATCATTCAAATTAAAGCTTTTGTTTTCAATTAATAAATCTTTAATTAATATTATTCTGTGTTTTTAATTTCTTAATTTTAAACATAGTTATAGTTATAATGTATAAAGTAAGTAACATTTATTTATCTAAATTCTTAGCAAAATTCTGTTACAACTTTCTAAATATATAAAATGTTAACTAAATTGAAATATATGTTAACTGTTACTATTAATGATGATTATTACTTCCGTTTATAAATTTATTTATATCATTATTAATGTAAAAAGTTTTAAAAATAATTTGACAGGAATTGATCATCACTTTCATAGCTATAATAGCTTTAAGTGACGGACAGAACTGGAATAGACAACATGGGAGTCGATCTGCTCGTCAGGTTGGGTCATATGGAGGGCAAATAAGTCATGGCGGGGCTCGAGTTCCGGGTTCGCCCGCAGCTTATGGCAGAGCAGGTGCTCGCGGGGGAGCTTATGGGGGAGCGTATGGTACGGGACAGCACGGCGGAGCGTACGGAGCTCAAGGTGGCTTTGGTGGACCCGGAGTTATTGGTGGAGCGACACAATATGGTGGAGCGGGAGCTTATGGCGGAGCTGGACATTATGGTGGAGGGGGAGCTCTCGGCGGATTAGGAGCTCACGGGGGAGCGGGACTCTATGGCGCTGGTGGTGGAGTTGCCGGTGGAGCGGGGCATTATGGTGGCGGTGCCAGAGCTTATGGTGGACAACAGGGAGCTTATGGCGGACACGGAGCCTATGGTGGACAACAGGGAGCGTACGGTGGATCTGGATTACATGGCGGACAGGGAGGCTATGGAGGCGGTGGTTATTACGGGGGTGGAGGCGCTTATGGCGCCGAAAGCTATAAACCTTTCCGTTTTGGTTATAATACTGTCGACGAATACGGAACACAAATGGGTCGACAGGAAACGGCTGACGGCAGTGGGACAGTGAGGGGCTCCTATAGCTATAGAGACCCTTACGGCCAATACAGACAAGTGGATTATGTGGCCGATCCGGTCGGTGGCTTCCGGGCTGTGGTCAACACCAATGAAGCGGGTGTTATACCACACCAACCCGCAGATGCTGTCTATAACGTTCAATAAGAGGTATATTTGAAGGATTTTATATTTTAATTATTGATGTTTTGGTCTATTTTATTGAATTTAAAATTTTAATTTGTTTTTTAATTATGTTTTTTTGTATAGAATTTTATGATACTTTTTATAATGTAATCAAAGTTAAACTTAATTAACACCTTTAATTATTACTTAAATAAAATCTGCCAAATAATTTATAAAGATAAAATGAATTTAAGTTTTAAAAGTAATAAAAGTTTATAATAATGGCTAAAAACAGGCGAAAATTGAAAAATATATAATAGAAAATGAGGCAAAATTGAAATCAAAATAAAATAAAAGTTGATGTAATAATGATTATAATTTCAATCATTGAATTGTTATAATAAAAGATGAATTGAGAGAAAATGAAAACTTATGATTAAATCGCATGCCTTTCACTTTGATTCTGGTTTTTTGTTTAACTCTCTGTTGTGTTGTGTTGTCTGTTGTTTCGCAAAACAATATCGTTTAGCGTTATATAAGAGATGACGTTAGCATACAATCACTTTTCTCTTACTCTCCCCTAAAAACTTCACGAACTTATGATTTGAAAGTAATGATTGTCTGAAACGGTTTGGGGGAGGAAAGGGATGAGGAGATTGTTGTTTGAGAGAGAGAGAGAGAGAGAGAGAGATCCTCAATAGAAAAA